ACTTCAAAATTTACGACCATTTCCGTCCTTGTCAGTCAAATGTTTTGGATGGTTTGAGAAAATTTATGTTTAAGAGTCTATTGTTTAATTTCTTAAGCTTCAAACGGATAAATTTTGCTAGTTTTTTGTTGCTCAATTCTTGTTATTGTTTGATATCAAATTTATACATCCACTTCACTCATCTGTTCTCATGGTCCGAGTCCAGGACATCTTCAAATGCTCAATTAAGATCGAAAAATTAAGTTATACGAAGTAGATATGGTTGCAGCCGTAAAGTATTCTTAACCTTGATGTTAAATTGCGATTGTTTTCGGAGAATCTCTTTTAGTTAAATTTAATGAGTGTTAATGCATTGTGATATATTCTTATATTATATATTGAAATGCAACGCAGCTACTGGCTTTTCTTAATATATTATTAGGGTAAATCTTTCATAAATAATAGTTTCTAACTCTGAAGATGTATATCACATAACATAAAAAATATGTTTTTCTAGTATTATTCGGTGTTACGTGACAATAAGCCGAGAAATTAATTACACAATTCTACAGTCACAACTAAAATGCAGCCTTCATTCGGCTTCCGCTGAGGCCAATTTATGAATCCCTTCAATTTGCCTTTTAAGGCTACCCAAAAGATACTCCAACATAATTTAATTTTCTCAACTTTTCGGAGTGACACTGATAAATTGTAACTTTGCGCTCAGGATGACGCTTCGCACTGACAATACTGGCAATGGTCCGACGTTGAATACTTTTGCACAGGACACTAGACTAGTTAGATTGCACAGGTTCTTGCCCTTTTAACCAAGTTGAAAAATCTAGGTCATACCAGCACTATGACGTAATTTTTCCGAAAATAAACATGTGTAGCCTCAGTGCAGGTCCATTATCACGCAAACCAATCAACAAATGGCCAGTGGAGAGCCATTTTTACCTAAATAAGACTAAATTTTGCTATATTATTTGATCTGGTATGTCTTTTTGTTCATTATAAGTATTATAAAGTATATTAAAATGAAACTTTGATGTGAGAAGGCGAAGAATTGATGGATGAGTGTAAATGCCCTTCCCTATATTTTTTAATCAAAGCCGCCAGACAAACTTGATTCTGTGATGGACCTGGCCTCAATAGTACCCTCACAAATGCATTTAACTCGGCCGATACCCGAAATCACGCTGCAGCTGGCTCCGGATTTAGTGCGTTCGGCAGTCTCCGGATTCACACATGCTTCCTCTGCACCGAATCCTGGTGAGGCCAGTGTTATGTGTGAAGAAGCCGGTTCAACCCCGACTGGTTTTCGCCGCCGACTACTGCCACCTGAACCCAAACCAAACCGCTACTCCTGCCCTTCAGAAATTGGTCGCAATAGTCAGGTATTTAATTACAGTTCCATCCAAAATGGTGAAATATTTGGGTTTAAATAAAAATAAGGAAAAATCAGCGTGCACAATGGTTTACTAATTAAATTTATATAAGTGGACAATTATGGAAAGAAGTGGCTAAGATCTATGCATATTTTAGCAGTAGTGCAGAGAATGGGTGAAATGAATGTACTAAATAATGATAGAAAACAAGAGTCAGTTGAATAGACACAAACCTTCGTCACCTCTGGAAGACTAGCTGCTTCCATTTTTTCGAATTTGAATTTCTCAAGATTTTATAATTAAAAAAAACATAGAGTGCATTAGCGTACCAGCTCGCCATCTGGATTCCGGTCAAACAATTTGCCAAACTCCCGAAATTCGCATACTTTTATTAAAAACCTGGGTTGCAAGGTGTGGGCATTCCGTAAAAGCTCACTAAATAAAGACATTTAAGTAGTGATATAACAGTTAAGAAATTAAGTAATTTATATAGACTACTAATACCAATACTCAGATACAGAAATATCCATCCATCTATATGCATAAAAATAAAATTAACCCTCATTCATATTAATAAAAGTTCGCCAAAAAACCAGTTACCTACCTACATACCTTTCTAACTAGCAAAATACATTTTTGTCTATATCAAGAGTCTGATTGTTGTAAAGCTGTACTAGCAGCGACTGGCTTTATTTTGTATTGTTTATGTCAAGTAGAAGATAATGCTTGATATACGGATTAAGTATCCGCTCGCTATGTACGCCAAAAGCTGTCCTCAGCCAGAATTGACTGAAGTTTTGACCTCACCTCACCGCCTCCTAGCACCAAAGCAAACGGTGCAAATACCGCTGAGTGTGTGGATGTGATCTATGCAAAGTCAAATCTGCAATTAGGCCAGTGTGGCAACTGATTGTTGTGAATGCATGACTTAATGAAAATCCATTTAACACTTAAACCCAATAAAGTAATTTTAGGCAGAATCGTTAACTATCCATACTGGTTGAACTCTAGAAGAAGAACGTGATTTCTCCCGAACAAACCCGTTAAAAAGCTACTTAGGTAATCATCAACATACTAATTGGCATACATAGGAAACGAGGTAACACAATATTGATATAGCTGATGATAAGAATAATATTTGATTAATGACAAATAAATTAAAGAAAATAAATAGTTTGTTAAAATAAATAGAGGAAAAAATAAAATTAATGGGAAATATTAAGGAAATTAAATTGAAAAAGGTATAGGAGCAAATAGAAAGAAATTATTAATTAAAATAAAAACCTAATTAACTACAACGATACAAACATAGCTATATAGCTAGCTGTATACATAATGAGATAAAAAGAGATATACCTACATAGATAGATACCTACCGAAATACCTAACAATCAAAATATGTATAAAACATATCAAATGACCTATCTACCTACATAACTATATAAACAACTACATAAATATATACCTTTAAATGTAGCTATCTAAATACCTAGCGAACTACCAACCTATCTAAGTACATAATTTCATATCTTCATACGTCCCAAACTTCCTACTTACCTACACACCTACCAAATTATCAAAATTCTCATACATCTACCTGCCTAAGTAACAGAGGACCTACCTACCAACACAACAACCTATTTACCTACATATCTACGTAAATATCTAACTGCCTAATTTCCTAAGTTCATAGCTATTAACATACCTACCTACCTAAGGATCGAAATACATACCTACATAATTAAATACCTGCTACCTATATACCTACATAACTACCTATAAACCGAACTATCTCTGTATCTAACTACCTACCTTTATACTTACCTTCCTAGATACATACCTATCTACATCCCGATCTAAATATCTATCTACCCACCTTCATAACTAATTACAAAACTAAATACATCACTAGCTTCCTTCCTAACTAAACACATAACTACAGACCTACAACAAACCTACCTACCTACATATCTGCCTACCTAACTTCCAGCGTTCATGCCTGCATACTTAATAACATACCTACCTACATACGTACCTATATACCTATCTAAATACCTACCTACCTCCCTAAATACATAACTAATTAACTACTTAAATACATACCTACACAGCTACCGACATACAAAACTACATGCCTACCTAAATACATACCAAGATACCTACCTACCCACATACCTAACTACCTACCTACCTGCATACCTACATACCTACCTAATTACCTAAAAACATACCTACATA